AACATTTATTTACATAAATGCAATAGTATAAATAAGAGCACAAACATCTCTTATATTTTGCCAACATACAACATACACACTCGTGAGTGAAGCGTTGAATTGCCAACGTCGAATTTTTTGAGAAGAGAGCTACAGAAAAAGCAGGAAATGCATTATTAAGCTTAGTTATATTATCAAGCAGATTAATGCTAAAAAATAATTTGCGCAGTTGAACCGTGGAAGAGCAGCAGCTTTGGATATTCGATTGGGCTTCAAAATCAAATTTAAGCTATAGCAGGATTACTTGCTCGCATGTTTGGAAGAGCTTTGTCCAATGATGCCATATCAAGGCAGCCGCCACCAAGTTCTTGATAGCCTGATTTTCTGAAGAACAAACACAATAGCTCTAAGTGGAGCATGAGGGTTTTTAGGACTGACCTCCTTGGTAGTGTCTCATTTCTGAAAGCAGCCAAGTCTTTTGCTTCTTTTGCACTTCTCTCGATGTCAATGCACCTTGCAATTGTGCTTCCTCTTCTGAAAGGTATTTTAAAGGTAGCTTTATAGAGACGATGAGTTTATGGCGTAGTGAGGGTAAAAGCACCAAACTGTAGCTACCAAATTGATTTTTACTTAGAAAATTTTCCTCTATAAGTGCCAGAGAGTGCAATTTAACCTTACCTTATCGTGCATACAGAAGGACCAAAATCATTTATACTGGAATTAGAACCATGCAGGCAATTTTGACTTGAAGCTGGCGATACGGCGACACTTCCTCGACGTGGAGCTGCACGAAGTCGATCGACAAGAGCAGCGACCAGAATCGTCCACGCTCTACAGGCTTCGGGAAAACCGCGTACACAGTCCTTAAACATATTGCATTTACTTCTCTTAGCTCCATAATTTATCCTGGAGTATGCGATTTACCTGAATGACGACAATATCCACAAAATACTCGCCGATCTTATCCCAAAGCACGGAGCGAAATCCGTACTGTTTAAGGTAGGCATGATTTCTTCCTGGAATAAAAGCACTATTATGTTTGACGAATCCACAAATTGACTTCTATAATACAAAATATAATCATTTCAGACCTCAAGTCGAAGTTAGATTCTAAAATTTATCAAAATTCAACAAGTATTACTAAATATATAAGAGAAGCTAGAAACTCCGAATTTTGAAACTCACCAATAGTATCGATATGATCGAGTATATTTTGCGGATCGACTTCAAGGCTTTGGACTACCTAAATTTTCAGCTTAGAGTGAGAATTTTGAAACAACGAGCAAAAAGAACCATTTAAACATGAGACATATGGATTTTATTGAGCCACACGTCGTTTTCGTAATTCTTTTATAATTTGATCCGGTCTCAGTTAAATTTTACTGGTATTTGTACTTAATCCTGTAGGGTCGGCGAAATGCTCCTGTTAATCTTATTACCAAAAAGAATCCAAATAAATGTAGGCTCTCTAATGATACCTCGACTATGGGTGATAATAATACTGCTAAGTGATACTATGATATTGACAAAATTAAATTTTTAAAACGACAATGTTTCTTTTTTATTTAAAATCATCGCATTCTGCAAAAAATGCACTTGATTCTGTGTCATGATGTTGAAATTTCAAACGTGATATGTGCCAATCCTCCTAGCATACACAAAACTGCCTAAAAACTGTTTGATTGTCTATCAAACTTTTAGAACTCCAAAGCACTTTTCATTGAGACATATGGGAGTAG